CAACAGCCCGTAGTGTCGACCAACCCCTATCAATGTGGGGGGCACAACAACAACACAATGCTTTCCGGCTCACTTTTGGATGCGATCGCCGTCAGAAGACGTTACTACGTTGACGTCACAACACACTCCGCCAATCCAGCAGACAGAATCGCAAAACCCGAAAGAGAATTCATACTGTAATTTGCAGCTTTCTCCCTTCGCGGCGTGTGATGAGTCTGATAACGCATTCGAAAGCCTATATGCCGTGCCGTCCGTCCCCAAGCAGCCATAGCCGCAGTCTTCCAGGTGTGCGCTTGTTGGCGCGCACGCGCCTGCGCGTGTGTACGTATGTGCGCGCGAGCGATTATCGGCTATTCTTCGTAGGCAGCCGAGCGTGAGGGTGACGTTGACTTGTGCGAGGACCGGCTTGCCCGCAGAATCGCAGGCGCATTTCCACGGTATCGCACGCGCATTTCCGCGGTATCGCAGGCGCATATCCGCGGCTATGGCGGCTATGGCGGCAGCTTCGTCCTCACTGAGGACCAGCCACGTGGCAACCTGTGGCGCGGCCGCGGCCAGCGCGACGAATGCAACGGCAGACCAGCCACAACAACATCGGGGGGAGTTGGGGGGGGAGGGATCGGGCGCAGTCTTGCGCACGTCGCTGCGGTTATCCAGAGATGATGAGAGCGCCGCACAGTGTGCGGCATTCTCTGCATCTGCTGATGGTAGGATTGCCGGCTGGTCGACGTCCCGATCGCGGCAGCTGCCCCCCCTAGGTACCGGTGAACGACACGTGGCAGCGGCATCTTGTCGTCGAAGGTCGGTCATCGTTTGTGCGGCAAGGCCAAGGCGTGGTGGTCGTTTTATTCTTTACGAAACCCCGGATGTGTATGTGCTTCTCCTCCCTGGGAAGGACGAAGTGTTTGTCAATCGAGATGAGCTATACGAGGAGCTGAGCAAAGTTCTGCGCAACTGGCCAGAGTCGCAGCTGCCAGACGACCTTGAGAGATTCAACGACATTGACAAAGCGGTCTCATTCCTGATCAAGAATGCTTGTGAGCTGTGTCTGGGTGGAGGACTGGGAACCGTCCAGTGGTACGAGGTTCGCCTGAATTAGGCGGCAACCTCCTCCACTCCCACTCTCTTACAACTACCGTCTTCCCTCAAACACAACGCACCCTCATTATCGCTGCACCGGGCCGGAAAAATAGCTTGTATTCATTCGTTATCAGGGTGCGTTGTGTTCGGGGGAAGACGGTAGGAGGAAGAAGAAGAAGAAGAAGAAGAAGAAGAAGGAAGCCTGCACCGTGTCCAGCTTCTCGTACACTTTTACTTGTAAGATGGATTCCAGAGAATTGAAGAGAGAGAGAGAGAGAGAGAGAGAGAGAGAGAGAGAGAGAGAGAGAGAGGGAGGGAGGGAGGGAGGAAGGAAGGAAAAAACATACAATACTTAAGGAATTACAATCATCGGAGGGCCTAGAAATACTTGCAATCGACTTTACTTCCTCAAAAAACAGAAACGAAAACAGAAAAACCCTTTAGATTTCACTTCACAAAAAAGTTCACATGGAAAATTTCTTGCTTCTCATCACTTTCATTCATGTAAAAACAGTTCTTCGCCGTCATCAAGCTTCCTTTTCCAGTTCACTACCCACTTTGGGTGCCCCCTTTCATTTTTTATTTTTTTTTAAGGATGTCATGACATCCCCTTTTTCAATCTGTACTTGACCATCATCCTCGTGCAGGGGACATGCTTCTCTTCTCTGTATAGTTCCCCCTTTTAACGGATGTGCCACTGGGCCTCAGCGAACACTTTTTGCATCTCACTTTCCTGTGTGCTTTGTAAGGGACTTGACTGTCCTCCCACTTTCTGTTTTTTTTTTTTTTTTTTTAATGTTCAAAATAATACTCGAGGCCGGGGACCTCACATGTCCTCCCACTTTCTCTCCGCTTGATCATCCTTGCCGCTTCCTTACATAACTTGGGGTGTTTTTTTTTTTTTTTTTTTTTTTTTTTTTTTTTTTTTTTTTTTTTTTTTTTTTTTTTTTTTTTTGAACTTCTAACTTTTCCTGTCAACTTGGAGTTCGCCTCGAGTCCGCTTGGTGGGGCTTTGGTGATTTTTTTTTATTTATTTTTTTTTGTTTCTTTGGTGAGTTTTTGTTTCTAACATATCTATAAGTCTTTTTTGAACTTCCTCCCCCCCCCCCCCTTTAATCAGCTCTAAGCAAGCCTCTAAGCTCTTCACCCATGCAGACGACGACCAGCACTTGCATTCGATAAGCAGATCTCTTTTGACGTCCATCTTCCCCGGAAACACAAACAACGCACCCTCATTAGGAATGAAATTTATACAAGGCAACTTTCGGGACCGATACAGTCAAGATGAGGGTGCGTTGTGCTCGGGGGGGGAGGGAGGGGGAGGGAGGGGGCGGGCCGCAGATGGAAGGGACATTGATAGTACGTGCTCTTTCTTGAATTTTCCTTAGAATTTTTTGGCTGTAAAGAGAGTCCGGCATGCAAGGTAGCATAGAAGTCTGCGGACATGTAAGGTATAGGGCCTCGCTGCACTACTCTCGAAATGTGCAAAACTTGAGTGAATCTACCGCTAGAGCATGGAAAGATACACCGCCATGATTTTCGTCTTTTATGCATGTCGAGAGTAGTGGAGCGAGGCCCATAGAATAGTAGTCTGCGCGCATTTTTCTAAGGTAGAATATAGTCTACTTCAAGTTGCAATTCAGCTCCTCTGGCTATTTGCCACCAACAGAAGTATAGATAGATGTTTAGGCATTTTATTATTATTATTATTTATTTATTTATTTATTTATTTTTATTATTTATTATTTATTATTAATATTATTGATTTATTTTTAGGCATTTTTTAATGTGAGAAGAAGAATGCCTACTGACACACAGTGACATCTCAATTAGCTGGCGATTTGGAAATTGTTCAGTTGTTCTGATGATGTTGGATTGAGGGCATCGCCACACCAGACTGTCGAAATGTCCGAAATGAGAATGAACTTCCGGCAAGAACATGGCCAGATGCACCGGCCACATTTTTGTTTTTTTCACATTTCGAGAGTGGTGTGGCGACGCCCTAAGAATGACCGCTCCCACTTTAGGAAAAAATCAGTTCGTTAAAGTTTTCTCGAGTTAGGGCATGATCGCCACACCACTCGCCAAGGGTGAAAAAGACGAAAAATGTGGCAGGTGCATCTGGCCATGTTCTAGCGGGAAGTTCATTCTCATTTTGCAGATTTCGAAAGTGGTGTCGAATCTCATTTCTTCCAGTCTGTCAGGGCCGCCATAGTTGCAAGTGGTGGAACAACAAAGTTTTAGGGCATCGCCACACCACTCTCGAAATGTGCAAAATGAGAATGAACCTGCCTCTAGAACGTGGCCAGGTGCACTCGCCACATTTTTGTCTTTTTCACGTTTCGAGAGTGATGTGGCGACGCCCTTATTTGATGTCTGATGAAGGATGGCTTCTGCGGCCAAGTCCCACTAGCAGCGTTGAGCTGCCTCAGCGCCTGAATCTGGACGTGTTTGTGGAGACGTGCGAACTCAACACCATTTCTGCACATCTCGGCAAAATTGTCCAGATTCAGGCGTTGAGGTAGCTCAACGCTGCTAGTGGGACTTGGCCCCTGTGCGTCTTCACGAAAATGTACTACTGAATTCATGCCCAAAAAAAAAAAAAAGAAAGAAAAAAAAAAAATTCACGAAACCAAAGGCCGGCCTAGCTCAGTTGGTTAGGCATGCAAGTGGCATTTAGGAGGTTGTGGGTTCATGCCCCAGCACTTAGTGCCAACGGACTGTGATAGTCCTTTGGATACCCCTGATCGGTATTAGCGGGGTCTATGACCAACACGGGTGTGAGTGTGAGCGCGAGTGGGTTGTGTGTGGTGTGTGGGAGAGTGT